GTTTTTGGGGAGGGCATTTGGTTAAAACACCACCAGGACACTTGTATCCCGTCTCAGAGTTCCTGGGCTTGCGTCTCAGCTCCTCTTTCAATCCAGCTGCCTCCTAATGGGTGCCCTGGGAGGCAGCAGTGATGGCTTAAGTAGTTGGGTCCGTGCCACCCACATGAGTTCTGGGCTCCTGGCTTTGGCTGTTGGGGGCATTTAAGGAGTGAACCAGTAGATGAAAGATACCACCCTCAGTCCATGTGTTTCTCTTCATCTCTCTGCCTTTTAAATAAGATGAAAGTTAATAAATTTTTTTTAAAAAAAAGAGCCCAGTTAAAATACAATTATAAGCTTTAGAATCCCCTGGGGAACAACTCTGGGCTGCATTATAGAGGGATGCTGTGGTGGATGGAAAACTTTGAATTCAGACAGCCTGTCCAAACCCCAGCCCATCAGGTACCCCTCAACACGCAGCGTTCCGCAGGCTGGGCCCTGCCTGCCCTGCCTGCCCTGCCTGCCCTGCCAAGAAAGCTGCAGGGAGATGCTGCCATCGCTGGGCATGCATTTCTTAGGAAACCTGTGCTCATGCATTTCTGTGAGGGACGTCAGTGCCAGGGCCTGGGGCCCTGCCTCCAAGAGAGCCTGCACCTGCCGCGACAGGGGGAGACTGTGAGTGAGATGCAGGCAGCTCTGGCTGGGTGACTTTGGACAAGAGTCTTTGCCTTCCTGAGCCTCGGTTTCCCCAGCTCTCATCATGCAGGGTGATGTAGAGACTTGGTGCTCAGTGACTGGCACAGAGCAGAAGTTAGTATGCGGTGCTCGGCATTATTTTCAGAAGTGAGACTGCCCTGTGATGTCCTTGGGGAACCTGGAGTTGCCTGGCAGGGGCTGCAATAGCAGATCGGCCCTGGCTCTGTCACTCTTGGGACTGCAGCCTGGGGAGTGGTGGTGTGTGCAGGGCCTGGCCTCAGGTGCAGAGATAGCCCCCAGAGTACAGGTCCTGACCCTAAGGAATTTGAACCTTCTGTCTGAACACTCTAAGAGCCGCTGCAGCAGGGCACAGCAGGTGGTGTGTGCCTCAGCCCTGACCATCTGACCTCACACCATGCCTCAGTCAGCTAGCACTGGCCCATGAGAGGCGTCAGTGCCCCACCTGGGTGTCCACCCTGCCTAGGCTCCAGGGCGGCCTGGATCACCTAGTTTGGGGTGTGGGAAGGAGACCTGGGCCGCAGCAAGCAAGGTGGGGACCAGTGGGGCAAGCCTCCATGGGGGCTGACTTGGAGTGGGGACCCTTGGTGGGGTGATGGTCTGGGGACATGTGTGGAAGTCATCAGGATCTGGGGAGGTAAGGGCAGAGGAAATGAGGCCAGCCCTGAGGGCTCCTTCTCACCCAAGGCAGGGGGTGAGGGATGAGTGGACCTGGGCAGATGGTTATGAAACTACCGGGCTGTGGTCCCCAGGAGAGGACCACAGGTCTCGCAGGTGTCATTACAGGCCATCGCAGGTTTCAGACTTGTGCACATGGAGGTTCTGCTGTGGGTGGCTCCATCTCTCGCTCAATTTCTTTTTCTTTCTTTCTTCTTTTTAATCTTCACTTTCCCCCTCTTTTGCTTGTGCTTTTCTCATAAACCGTTACTCAAATCATTTTGGGAAGCAAGCAGATTATAAATAGAAGGAAAAACAAAAGATACTTGTATGTAGAAAATCTGCCTGGAGAAAATGGGCTTTCAATTGTGGGATTATTTTGTTTGTTTTTTTTAAAACATATTATCTCTTTTTAAAAATATTTATTTTTACTTATTTGAGAGAGAGAGAGAGAGATGGAGATGGAGATAAATAGGGAGAGAAAGAGAGATTGACTTTTCCATCTGCTAACTGATTTCCCCAAATATCCACAACAGCCAGGGCTGGGCCAGACTGAAGCCAGGAAATGGGTCTTCCAGGTGGGTGGCAGGGACCCAAGTAGTTGAAGCTGTCACCTGTTGCTTCCCAGGGTGTGCATTAGCAAGAAACTGGATTGGAAGCAGAGGTGAGAGCCGATGCAGGACACAGGTGTCCCAAGCGATGGCTTAACACCGCACAATGCTCACCCCTAAAAGAATATTTCTCGATAACAGCATGTTATTATTTTTTAAAATACTGGGATTTTGTATAAATAAAGGAAAACTGCTCATAATTATGTCACAATTAACCATGGGTAATATTTTGGTATGTTTCCTTCAAGGCTTTTCTTACATGGATAAATTAAAAACTTTTTACTTTATAAATAATACCCATTAATAAGATAATAACTATGCTACATTTATGTGATATATATAACTTGCCAGGTTTTTTTGAAAGATTTATTTATTTATTTGAAAGTTAAAGTTACACAGAGAGAAGGAGAGGCGGAGGCAGGGGACTTCCATCCGCTGGTTCACTTCCCAGTTGGCCAAGAAGGCCGGAGCTGCGCCAATCCGAAGCTGGGAGCCAGGAACTTCCTCCAGGCTCCCACACAGGTTCAGGGGCCCAAGGACTTGGGCCATCTTCCACTGCTTTCCCAGGCCATAGCAGAGAGCTGGATCAGAAGTGGAGCAGCCGGGACTCAAACCAGCGCCCAAGTGAGATGCCGGCACTGCAGGCGGTGGCTTTACCCATTATGCCACAGTGCTGGCCCTTTGCCAGTTTTCTTATTTAACATGTATCATATATAACTTGGACAAGTTTCCATGCTCTTTAAAATTCTTATAAATTTTAGGTACCTCCCCCAATGTCCCATTGTTGTAAATAAGGCATTGACAGATAGCCTGGTCTGTAGGGTTCTTTTCAGAGGTGAGAGTATTTCCCTGGGAAGGATTCCCAAGTGGTCTTGGGTGCAATTCAGAGCGGGCCGTGTCCCCAACAGCACGTGTGGGTGCAAGAGGGTGACCCGTGAGGCCGGGGCTCCTCCCAGGCCCCTTCACTCAGCCTGTGGGTCTCATTGGGCCTGTCGGTGGGCGGCCCTCCGAACCTGCAGGGGACGGGATGAGGCCCGCGAGCCGGGGCCCAGGGCTTGTGAGGCTGGCCGCACCAGGGTCCCAGCGCAGGCGCTGTCAGACCTGGACGCCATCCCCACTGGCCGAGCTTCGTGCCGAGGCGGGCCGGGATGGTTTTCTGTTTAGGGAGACTCGGCAATGGGGTCAGCCAGCGGGTAAGCTTCAGTTAACCTAGCGCTTAGTGCTTTTTTGTTAATGAGGGGAAGACCGGCTGTGAAACGCGAAACCGTTCAGAAAGGTTGCGTGGTCTTTAAGATTTCGTGTGCCAGAAACAATTCTATTCATGCAAAAGAAAGCGACTGATGGTGATTTTAAGAACTGACTAGGTTCCCAAGGGTCCCCTGGGCTTCACTGAACTTTCATTTTTTTAAAAAATACTTTTCCTATGAAGTGATGAATCTTGGAAGCCGTGGGCAGTGCAGGCGACCTTGGCCTCATCAGCATAGCAGAAGCTGGGCTCTGTGGAGGGAGGCTCGGGCCATGCTGTGTGATGATGGCAGGGTTGTCATTCCGTGGGACTGGAGGCAGTGAGGGAGGAGAACAGGGCTGGGTATCTCAGGGGCCACAGTTGATAGGAACAAACCAGCTCACCCTCAGAGGCAAGATTCAAAAGCAGACAGGAGATCCGGGGTGTTCCCTAGCCCAGAACACTCGATTGTGCCCTAGAGTTCCATGGTGCACTAGTGCCGGCACGGCTGCTCTTCAAAGTGACCTCCTTCCACAAAGGAACAAAGAGCCTGCAGGACCGAAACCATGTGGAAAGCTTGGTAACAGTCAGTGTACAAAAATGTCTAAAATGCTTTGAAGAGATTCAGTCCGAAATGTTCCTGCTATAAAGCAGCCTGTGAAGCAGACTGAAAGCGTGGAGCCCGATGCCCCAGTCGTGGCTGAGATAGAAGGCGGGTTAAGCCGAAGCCTGGGACACCGGCACCTCAAATAGGAGCGCTGCTTCACGTCCTGGCTGCTCTGCTTCTGATCCTGCTCCCTGCTGATGCACCTGGGAAGGCAACGGAAGATGCCACCCCACCCATGTGGGAGGCCCAGATGGAGTTCTTGACACATGGCTTCAGCTTGTCCCAGCTCCAGCTGCTGTGGCCTTTTGGGGAATGAAGCAGTGGATGGAATATTGAGCTTTCTCTGTCTGTAATTCTGCCTTTCAAGTAAATAATATTTTTTTTTTCAAAGATTCTTCTCAATGTGACTCCTGTCTATAACCCACCTACTGTGTGGCAGGTGTGCTGCCTGGTTCTAGGGAGTAGAGATGCATGAGACTGGATTGCCTACCTCCAGGGCTACAGCTGGGGAAGAACCCATGTGTCTTCTGGTCATGGTGCCAAGAGCAGTTAGGAGTGTAGTGGATTCTGATTAGGGAGCACTGGTAAAGCCTAGAGGAAGTAACATGTGAGCTGGGCTTGAAGGGTGAGCACAAGGATGGAGGTTAGAGGTGTGAGAGAAGGGTCTGCACGGCAGGGGACACAGCCTGGGTGGAGGGATTGGGATGGATGGGAGTGGTGTCCCTGGAGAGAGAAAAGGCCAGGAGTGAAGAGGAAATGGTGGGCTGGGCCAGGTGTGCGTGGCCCTGACCCTCAGCCTGCAGAGCCTGCACTTCATTCTGTGGCTAGTAGGGGCCATGGGAGGTTTTGAGCAGAGAAGTGACTTGCAACTAGTAGTGCTTTCAGTGAAAAGCAAGCATATCAATGCCTGCTCATTGATAAGTCAACTCTACTGAAGTATATGAGGCAAAAAGTGAAAATGCTCCCCCTTCCCGAGAGAACCACTGTGCTCCTGTTCGTCATTTTCCTGCCTGTGTCTGCAGAGTGGACATACCAGTCTCAACCCTAGAATTGGGAAGGAGATGTGCAGGCCAATCCGCTCGCTCTCTCTCTCACATATACCCTTTCTGTTGAATTCTTGATGTCATATAAAGCAGTGTTGTAATCTGGGAAGTCTGGGCTACATCTTATCTCTTGACTCATTTTGCTCCCCTCTGTGTTATTTCAGAGCATGGTTTTATTGGATATTCCCCGGAACTGCTACAGAACAACACTCTGCCAGATTACACCCCGGGGGAGTCTTTCTTCACTGTGTTTGGGGTGTTCTTCCCAGCTGCTACAGGTACGGTCATCTGGCTTCTTCCTCACCCTCCCATTAGGGGTAAGGACTATGAATGTTTGTTTCCCAAAATTTAGTGTCACAATTGGCCTGCATGTGCCTTAGGATGTGTGTCTGACTTTATTTAAATTTATTTTTTATTTAACAGAGAGTTAGTGAGAGAGAGAGAGAGAGAGAGAGAGACAGAGAGAAAGGTCTTCCTTCCGTTGGTTCACCCTCCAAATGGCTGTCACGGCTGGAGCCATGCTGATCTGAAGCCAGGAGCTAGGTGCCTCCTCCTGGTCTCCCATGAGGGTGTGGGAGCCCAAGCACTTGGGCCATCCTCCACTGCCCTCCTTGGTGACAGCAGAGAGCAGGACTGGAAGAGGAGCAACTGGGACCAGAACCTGGGGTCCACATGGGATGCCGGTGCCGCAGATGGAGGATTAACCAAATGAACCATGGCGCCAGCCCCATTAAAATACTTATTTTTTTATTATTTGACAGGCAGAGTGACAGAGAAAGTGAGACAGAGAGAGAAAGAGAGAGAGAGAGAGGGAGAGGGAGAGAGAGAGAGATCTTCCATCTGCTAGTATATTTCCCAAAGGACCACAACTCCCACGTCTGGGCCAGGCTGAAGGCAGTAGCCGGGAACTCCATTCTGGTTCCATGTAGGTGTCGGGCCCACATACTCAAGCATTTTCCACTGCCTTCCCAGGCACATTACAGGGAGCTGGATTGGAAGCAGAGGAGCTGGGATTTGAATGGGCACTCTGATATGGAACCGGCCCCATATTGGGCTTAACTTCTTCTAAAAAACCTGTTTTAAGTGAGTTTACTGGTTTATAATTTCAGAAGGCCCCAACATGATTGACCCTTCCTGACCCCTTATATCTATATATTGGCACTTCTTAGCCAGAGTAATACAGGGGACATATTTCTCTTAGAGCTGAACTGCCTGGCTTCCCCAGCAGGCTGAGCCACATCACATCTTGAGCGAGTGCATGCTTGGCCTAAAACACCCCCTGCCCCTACCCCACCAGTAGGTCTTCTCCCAGGGAGGAGAGAAGTGTGATGGTCTTGACTTTTCTTGCTATCCTGGCTCTAGGCCTAACCAGGATTCCACGGGCAGTGAATACATCTTTCCCTACCCTCCTCCTTCCTGCTCTGTGTTGGCTGTGGAGAGGTCTTGCCAAGCTGAGACCCTTGTAGAACTTGCCTCATGCTTGGGTCCCTGGCCTGGGGGGCAGTAAGCTAACGTTTTGACAAATGATTCCTGGGAAACAGCATTTGCTAGGGACTGGGATTGTCCCCCAACAGAGTCAGAAAGATTTCACTCTGGATCAAAGCAGTGCTGCTGGCCTGCCTCCCTCCACATGGCCGCGCCCTTGCTCATCATCCCTTTCCCAAATAGGACAGGGATAGCAAAGGCAGGCGAGACCACTCAAACATCTGAGATGAAAAGGTTGTCCACACCCATGTTGACAAGGAGGTGGAGGAGCTGGGACTCTCCCCCACTGCTGATGGGAATGTTAAGTGGGGCAGCCACTTTGGAGACAGCTTGATGGTTTCTTAAAAAAGAGACCTAGGTCTGGCCCCTCCACTCCTAGTTATCTACTGCAGAGAACCGAAAGCATGTGCCCATATAAGGACTTGTGCAGACGTGCAGCTTAATTTACACCAGTCTAAGACTGGAAACAGCACTGATACCAGGCTGGAAACTGCCCGACATCTTTCAATAGGTGAGCAGATAAAGAAATTACTGTGTAGCCATATAGTAGCAAACTACTCAGCAATAAAAGGAATGAACTGTTAATATACACAACAAATACAGAGGAAGCTCAAAATAATTGTGTTGGGTGAAATAAGTTGGATTTAAAAAGAGTACCTTTTTTTAGAAAATGAGGTTATATGAAACTTCATTTATATAAAATTCTAAAAAATGCAAAGTGTAACGAGAGGAAAGAGATCAGTGGAAGCCTAGGTTGAGGGGGGCAGGAGGGGCAGATTACTAAGGGGAGGAAGAATTTTGAGAGGTGGAACATGCATTGATTATGGGGATGGTTTCACAGAAGTATTCCTGTGTCAGCTTTTCATGTTGTTACACTAAAACACACACAGCTGGTTGTGTGTTAGTCACACCTCAGTAACGCTGTTCAAATGCAAAAAGGGAACTTGAACCCCCTTTAATCACCTTTCCTCCGTCCCATTTCCCTCTCTAGCAGTGACCTTTCCTCTCCTTACAGCCACGTGCAGGCTGCTGCGTCTTTCCTCTGCCTCTGCTCACCTCCTCCAGCCCTCTCTGCTTCCAGAATTCCAAGCCTGTCCCTCCAATGATGCGGCTCTTTCCAAGGTCATCAGCGATTTCCACATTACAAATTCAATGAGTATTTTGATTTCTCACTTTTTAAAAGAAATTTATTTATTTTTAATTTTATTTTATTTGAAAGGAATCGAGAAAGAAAGAAAAAAGGAAGGGAGGGAGGGAGAGAGGGAAAGGTCTTTCACCCACTCGTTCACTCCTCAAATGGCTGCAACAGCTGGGATCGGGCCAGGCTGCAACCAGGATCCTGGGACTCAATGTAGGTCTCCCACATGGGTGGCAGGAACCCATGTACTTGGGCCATAGTCTCTTGTCTCATTAGCAGGAAGCTGGCATCAGGAGCAGAGCCGGATCTGAACCCAGGCACTCCAGTGTAGCCTGCAGGTTTCCTAAGTGGCATCAGCTACAATGCTAAGGCCTGCCCCTAATTTCTCACTTACTTGACCTCCTCACAGCTGTTATGGTTTGTATAATAGTTTGAGTTACCCCAAAGGCCCATGTGTTAAAATCTTGATTCTCAGAGTCTTACGTTATAACAGCACTTAATCCAGTTATGGTGTCTGAGGATGGGGCCTTGGAGAGGGATGAGATTTGATTAGGTTGGTAGGGGCCCTGAGATCAATCAGGTCATGCTGACTTGTAGAAGGACCACACCGAGGCACATGCTCCCTGTGTCTCTCTGCTTCCAGGCTGGCTGTACGGTTCTTCCTTCTCACAGGTCTGCTGTCCACCACCCTCACCAGATGCCAGACTTAACGGGGCACCCAGTCTTGGCCTGTGACCCTCCAGTGCCATGAGCAAAAAGAAACCTTGCTTCCTCAACCTCTCGGGTCCTTGTGTAGTGATGAGAAGCTGACCGGTGCACCAGCAACCACTCCCTGCCTCTCTTCTTTGCCTAGTCCTAGGCAGCAGCCTCCACCTGTCCCTCCCGCTCTCTGACTTGTCTCTCTGGGTGCATCTTCTTCTGCCTGTCTATTAAGTGTCAGGCTTCTTCCAGCTGTTCCCAGGTCCTCTTTTCTTCTGGGCTGTCTTCCTTAGAATCTCATCCATGTCCATTTTTCAGTGACCACCCAAATACTGGGACTCTAAAATTGCTAACCGTAACCCAGACTTCTCTAAGTTTCACATCCTGTACCTACTTGTCTGCGTGTCATCTTCTCTTGGCTATCTCAGGCCAGAAAGTTCAGAATCAAACACATTCCATCACTCCCCTAAGAAGTTCTTTTCCTCTACTTCTGATCTCAGCCAAGGACACCTCCATCCAACTGATTGTCTTGCCAATAATGGGGAGTTACTCCTGTCACCTCCCTCTTTCTTCCCAGCACCCTCCAAGACCTGTCAAGTTGAACTGAATATCACTGGGTTTTCTCTGCTTCTCTTCATCTCTGCTGCCTGACCACTCTGGCCCAGAGTTGATCTTTCCCTTGAATCACACACTACAAGGGGCTCCTAAGTGAGCCCCCTTGAGATGTGGCCGTGGTGATAAGCCTGGCACCGGGGCTCAGTAGTGACAGTTAAGATTCTGTCCCACAAATCCAGATTTGTGAAGCAAAAGTGCATCTCTTCGTGTCTTATAAAATGAAGAGAAAGTCACTCTGACCCTGGGCTTTTGTTCTGCCAAAATGATCCTGCCAGTCATTGCTGATACTGCACGCCAGTTCAGGGTTTGGGGCAGACCCAGGTACTGAGGCACTGAAGAGGGGCTCTGGGTATTCCTCATCTATGGACACAGCCAGGTCCTCCTATTGTCCTGTCTGAAGCTTTGTGCTGCCCCGAGCCACTTTTGGGGACCGGAAATCTGCTGAGCTTGGGAAATGAAGGCTTAGGATCTGTATGCTTCCTGGACCCTCCTCTCTTGGGTCTTACTGGATGCACATTAGTGCTGCCAGGGTCCTAGGTCCATACTGCTCCAGAGCCTGTGGGCCTCTTTCTCTGCCTCCAACTCCAAGGCCAATCTTCTGTGGGATTTCTTTCTAGGGCCTGCTGCCTGGGTGAGTGACCTGTGCGTTCACGCTGGGTCCATGCCAAGAGGGGCCCCACACTTGGTTGTTGCTTTCTGTGGCTAAAAGTCCTAGTAAGTTTTGAACAAGGGCTCCTGTAGTTTTGTTTGCACTGGGCCCCGCAAACCACATAGTCCTGTCATCTTTGCCACCACTACAGTCCCCAGCCATCTGCTGCTGCTTTTCCATTCCTGCTCTCCTCGGAAATCTCCGAAGGACCTAGGCTGTTGAGAAACAGAAGCCAAAACAGTGTGCAGGCAAATCCTGCTTCCTTGCTGCCGGGTACCTCCCCCAAGGCAATCAGATCTAGGCCAGCCTCCTCCTCTTCTATGATTGGCAGCAAAGGCAAGGGGGGGAAAATAGAGGGATACAAAGAGAGTTAACATGGGGAAAATATTTATGAGCCTACCCCGCTCCACCCCCTGCCATGCACAAGTGGAAGCCCACACGGTCACCGTGCTTCCTGGCTAAGCGTTCCCTGGGGCCTAGCAGCGAGGCCCTGCCAGATGAAGACCTGGACCTAGACGCCAGGCTAGCAGTTCCATCCAGGCAGGGCTCTGTGCCTCCTTGGCTGGGCCCACTACAGGAGGAGTTGTCTCTGGGCATCCCCAGACACCCCAGGAGGCTGCGTCAGTAACCCGTGCCTGCTGTGCCCCCTCCACGCTGCTCCCCTGGCTTCCCCGCTTTGCTCCTCCAGGACC